GATGGACGGGTACTGCTAGGGTATCCAGCCACTAAGCAGGAGAACGATTAGGGTTCCCGTCCAAAGCCTTTAGTTTTAACAAGAACCTAGCCGCAAGGCAGCGGCGGGTGAAGTGAAGCGGAGGCCCATTTACTGGGATCAGTTAATCCTCCACCATTTTGTACCGACTGAGATGCTAACTCGAGTCGAACCCCAAACCTGGATGACCAGGAGACTAGATTTCGTCCGATCTTTATCCTTCGACCTTCCAGGCATGATTAGATCTTCGGCTTGACAAGGCCATTCTGTGTCGCTCGTCGGGTCAGAGAGGTTCACAAGCCATCACACCACGTCAAGATGCAGTCTCGTCGTGATGGGTTTTTACACAGCCTGTTCTTTGGAATGAAAAAAATATTAGCAATAGTAATTTTGACCATAACTGTCAACGATTTTGAAAGCATATCTGGTACAAACGGAATAGATATGACTTGGAACAAAACGAATAACGACGGTTAGTAAGTACGATTGACGAAGTGTACGCGTGACCGGTAGGCTGAATATCGGAGCTTGTTTACAAAACCCTTTAGAATTTCAGTGAATCACAGTGGTCTTTGAGTTAACGCACTCCAGTATCCTACCAAAGGTTATTTTGCAGCGATTTGGAACTGCATGACGTAATGGAGTGGGAACGATCACTACTACTGATCATCGTATATGCGTTTAAGCATCCCGAAAGGGATTTTCTGGCCACCTTTGCTAGTCCTCAAACACCACGGGACAACAAAGAAGACAGTCCTATCTCACGTCATGATACATACACACACACATCCTTCCATTGAACTGCCACCAAGTGGCCAGGTACGCTATAATTGCTCTCATTGTTGCCCTGATTTCCTCTGGGGTGAGTAAACACGGTGGTTCGGGGATTAGCACGAAAAGCAAATGGACAGAACATTGTCCACTGTGCAACAAGGTTTTCCGCGCACACGGAAACACAATCCGCTCCGTTCCGCAACAAAAACCGTAATTAGGGGATCGAATTCTACAGGATAATTTATCACAACAAACAGTAGAAACGAAATCAGTGGGAACAAAATAGCCATACATTATTCACAAATGTCCAGCATTAGAAGTATGTACAAAAGAAATACAACATTAGCATTGCATGTGTACGGATACGTGCCTGGACGGGATGGGGTGGGGGGGAGCCGGGTGCAAACACCAGCTAGATAAAATCTGTGTCCACATAACAAATGGTTGTCAAGAGGAGCAAGTTGTTCGGCGGCTCGTACGGGCATGGACTGAGCACAGTGAATGAGGATTTGTCTTCCGAGACACTGACCACCACAATAAACCCGTAGACTGGGGCTTCGGGAACACGTTGCGGTTCGGTAGCTTGTGAGATAGCCAACAGACGGTTCTTCAAATCTCGTCCAATCGGCACTTGGACCGGATGTCGCCACGTCTCCTCGTCTTCTTGTGCTCCGTGAGGTAGCAACGCATCCGGGATCGCCTCACTGCCCACTTTGTAGATGGAATACTAAAATGCGTAATAGTGTGGAATGAGTAACTAGGGTAGGGAATCAATTCATTATGAGAACGAAATTCGTTCCAGTAGCTGACAAACAGAAAATAAATGAGTCCTTGTGATGAAAAAGCCTTGCCATCTCAAAACATATCGAGTCTAACTAATTTACAAAAAAATAATGATGGTTACTCACAGTAATCTAATGAAACCACCATACCCTAAGCAGTGACTGTGTATGCTCGCACCTGTTGTATACTACTTGTGCAATAGGCACTTTGCATAGCCACTGGATGAACCACCCGAAACGAAGTATGTGCATGCACTACTCCATGCGGCCTTGACGTGAGTCGATATGATTTTGCTATGCGCACAGGTTAACAGTTCATGTACCATAAGAAGCAGTACCCCGCGCTACTGGAACGAAATCGAGCGAAAATCACATTACCTAATCCGAGACCTGAAAGCTGGTTGTCCGTCCGTAACACGTTTTGTACTTGACAGGGTAGCAGTGATCGTGAAACAAACCAATTTTCAGAACTGTTCTTTATTGACAAAAAGTGCTTATTACTTCTTACAATATGCCCTTGATCTCCTCTCTGTAAGAAAAAAAGTAAATTTCCACTAAAATTTTGACAGCATCCAATTTGCACGCCCTGTTTTTATGGACACTCACAGGCGCTGTGTGGAGTTTTAGTTATCCGAATAGGTGGTATTTCATCAGAGCCGGAATGAACAGTGTGTTGGTAAACGTACGGTGTAGGTTGTCACTGCACAGATCCGGAAGTAGCATGTTCGGATCCCACTACTATCGTCTAGCATTTCCATTTTTGTATGGACGTGGAAACCCAGTGAATCTTGACCATTGGTTGTTGAAGACTGTCAAACATTGCAAGTGTTCCACCAATGGTGCCTAAGAATGATTCTGGGAGTTGGACGGTGAGATCAACTTTCGAACGAAACAGCTAGACACCTTTGATTTAATACAATACAGCTCCACAAGATATGTAATGTTTCTTTTTATTATTTTTAATTACACACCTTAGTGTGATGAATAACAGACGGAGAAATCCTCATGGCCACGAGGAACTGGTGTTCAGTGATGGAAACGGGTAACCCAAGCCCCGGGGCTTGGATTCACGAACCACATAAGTCCCCGCAAGGTGAGGTGTGCTACTGAACCGAACGATAGCAAAGCTGCTTACCACCAAAGTTGGGTGGTGGTGCTCGAACCTCGGACCATAGGGTCCAAAGCACTCCGGTGTTAGCGACTAAACCACTGCGCAACCATCATGGGAATGTTCTGCGCAAACCTGACTGTACGCTAACTAAAGCCACCCTAGCGCCATCTCCCTACCTTGATGGGAGTGGTACTGCGGTGGACAGCCAAAAAATGTGATCAGACACCGCATCATGGAAAACGGGCTGGAACGCACTCTGATATGGAACGCGGAGCGTCGTCAGAATCAGTTTGAAACGAGTCATACTCCTTACCTATCATGGGAGTCAGCCGCCCTCCTAAAAAGCGGTTGCATATATATATATATATGTATATATAAGGTTTCATAATAATAATCTATGTTTGATATCTAACTCACTGAATTCGAGAAATACCACTTCAATCAAAGTCAACCTTGAAATTAAAGTCATTTTTGTGCACAGCTTTGAATGTTCGTATTGTTGTCACTATAATGAAGCAAGCAGTGCTCGAAACCAAAAGTTCCCGTCATCTCAGTGAAGAGGACAGAAACAGAATTGCACGAGCACACAAGCTGGGATTTTTGATATCAAATCTTGCCCAATGCTTTATCGTTAACAAAAGCACAATTTACAGGATAATCCATGGGAAAACAATAACCAGAACAGCTTGTGGAGGCCGTAAACTGAGTAAATCCAAACAGGAGAACGACCTGATTCGCATTATTCTGAAAAAACATTGCATAAAATCGCTGTCGTCTATCCAACGGGAAGATCTTCCCCGCCATTCATACTCCCTTCTGCAAGGAGGAATGAAAAAATTTAAGATGTGTCAGGTTTCAGCTGAAGTCAGGCCAGCATTGAACGCGCAGCAAAAACAGGCTCGTATTGATTTTGCCCGAGAATTCAAATCTCGACGTGCGCCATTTTGGTGATCGGTTTATTTCGCAGACGAAGGCATCGTGTGCAACGAGCCTTGGAAGGCTCACAAAAAAGTCATTTGCGGTGAAAATTTTCCAAAAGAACTTATTCCACCAAACGAAAGAGTTTCTCACTCGTCGAGATTACTCATCTGGGCAAGAATAAAACATGGTCAGCCTTGTCGGTGGACATCAGTCAAAGGTACCATAAATAGTGAGGAATTTGCATCAGTAATTACGAAAATGTTTCTAGAATTTCATGAAAAAAATCGTCTGGAAAAGTGATCGTTTTTCAGGATAACGCTCCATGTCATATTTCACAAGAGGTTAATAGATTTATTTAGTCAAGGATTCTGGTTCACTTATTATTTGCTTTTAGACTTTATAAAAGATGCGTGACTCGAAGGTCCAGTTTATGCAACTTCCCCCTAATAGCCCGGATCTCAACGTGATTGGAAATCTGTTTTCTGTTTTGAAAAGAGAGGTCAATGTGCTACCAATACATTGGGCATTGGAGGGAAAAGGGTGATACGTAATGGAGCACAAAATAGAAAATAACTTCATAATAAAGTTGGTGGATTCGATGCCGAGACTCGAAAAAGTCCCAAAGAACAAAGGTAGACCAATCAACTATTAGTGTACACGAACTTTACATCTCAATTATTATCGATGTTAATTTGTTGTCAATAAAAACTTCCATTCTCTTCAGTTATCTCTTAACTCATCATGGTCTAGGTCAACCACTACTGACAAAATGGAAGTATTCGCTACATTCTGAACCATTCCATTTGCTGAGTATAAACGAATCATAAAAATCACGTCTATAAAGGCTCACCAAGGCTTGTTTATTATTTGGAAAAAAAATTTACTCCAGTATAAATGCTGTTGACTAT